GGATGAACGAGCTCTAATTCAGCACAGTTCTGTACTCAATCAAACATAATGGTAAATGATGGATATTTATCTAACACAATATCCACACAAGAACCAGCAGCCAATTTGGACTCAGAGAATGGGATTGCCTAAGCGGCAGAATAGAACATTTCAGCTTGCTACATATACCAGCTTGTATAACCTCTAAGTACTGAGAAACTTGCAATACAGCTTGCAATAAAGCAGAGCATTAATCTGTTTCTTCAAGATTCTGTTTCTTCTGATAAATTGATTTTAAAATTTTATTCCTCCATGCAACATCGAGTTAAGGTTGTAATTTGTATCAATAGGTGCCATATTAAATACTGATTACCACTCTTAATGTTTCTGAATATATAAATTTATTTTTTGGAAATTATAATTTTTCTTCCATCACTAAAAGTTTATTCTACATTTATTGCCCATAACATTTTGAAAGCCTTATTTTCATTATCATGACACAAAGATCCGTGTATTAGGAAAATATATGGAAAAAATATTAATGTATACTTCTGTGGGTTCAGTTAAAAGAGTGTTGGGGCGCACCCACCTTCTGACTGATAATGGACTTATCCCTCTACAATATAAGTCAGTGCTAGAGAGAGTAGGTGTGTTGTGTGAAGGAGCAGGTTCAGCGACAGCAGTCGAGATCAGGTTACCATTACATACCGTTGGACTGTAGACTTCCTATTGTTACTTACTAACCGGTGTTCCTTATTACTAATCACTCTGTTGTTAATTACCTCCTACAAATATGCCAGTATTTATCCCTATAACTGTGTTTGTCTTTATTCAAATACGCACAAGCGGGAACCCTCCCAACAACTCAACAAAGAGACTGGGGAGAATGGAGATCAAGTGACATCAAGGTGCACTGTAAAAATATGATGAGAGATACTCAGTGATGTATAAAACTGAAACAATTTTATTAAAATAATAAAAGCAAACTTTACTAGCTCTGAAGGATGCACAAATTTGGTGATTTGTGCACCTCGAAAACTGGATAATAAATTCCTAGAGAAGTAACTTACTTTTTCTAAATAAGGCTCAATGGCACTTGTGGGGCAAAGATTAAGCTTACAATCAAAATCAATCAAATAAAATGAAATATCATAAAAAAATGCTTTGTATACAAAACAATGTAAATCACAAGGAAGAAAGTACAATAAAAGGGTTCCAGGGAGGTCAAACCAGTTAAAAGGGAAAATTTCTGATATCAGACTGGAGGGGGTTGATCTTTGGAAAATGTCTGAAAACTATACCATGGGTTGATCCATGCCTTGTGAGTGAAATTGCATAGATGGAACCCTTGGTGGCTGTCAATAGCTGTTCTAACACAAAGTCAAAAGTCACTGTGGCAAAAGGCTTGAGCGTGCTGATCTTGTTCAAATTGTTGATCATGCTAGATAACATACTCTTTCCCAGAAACTGTAACTAAGGTCTCATCACCATAGTTTCAGCATAAACCACAGGTGGGCTCTGTGGGTGTTGAACAAACATAAATGTGCCTGAGGATCCTTTTTTGAACTCCAGACTTCAAATGGCACACACACATACACACACATGTTATTGGAGCATGTCTACATATAGGGCCAAGCACATGATTTACAATTCTTACCTAGAGCCACTGGATAGTCGTATGCACCTAGTCAGCCTCACACTGACATTTGAAACAATAAATGACTAAAATTTGTTGATGGGCAGGCAAGATATTCTTTCAGACAGAAGGGAACACTCTTCTGGTAGAATAGATGTTACGTACCCGTTAAGTAACCCATACAAACTGCTTTAGTACACATCTAAAGCAGTGTGTAATGGATGAAGAGATCTTATCACTGCATAATTGACTGTGAGGACCTGTCCAAGGCAGTCTCATGTCGACAAGACATTTAGGTGGACCAAATGTTTGAGTGTAACTTAAACTTAAAAATTTTAAGCCTAATGTTAGTTTTAATGACACTTTCAGGATAACAGTTAGTGAGAAAATATTGATAATATGCCTGAATTTGGCATCAAGTTTACACTGTGAACATATCATTACTGCATGATGAGTGAGTGTCCTGACAAGGTTTAATTTTTCAAGACTTAGGAGCAAAGGAATCCCAACTGAGATCGAACAAAGTAAAAGTGGGGTTCCTTTATATGCTAGATGGCAGTTTTCTCAACCAACATGTCCTGGAAGGGTAACATATTACTTTCCACCTCTGTCATGAATTGTGGAGAGGAGTGGAGACTATTTAAATGTCGAAAAAATTTCCGCTCCATTATGTGATGAAAAACATGCAAAAGTATCATCAATGTAACAAAAATATCAGCAAGGTTTAAAAACAATTGCTTCTCATGGAACCCTACAAAGATATTGGTCATAAGAGGACAACCCATCAATCTGTTGATACATGTTATTATTAAAGCTGAAGGAGACAGATATACTAGCCATCTCCATCAGCTCAGTCTCAGGAATGGATGGAGGTTGTAAGGGTCAATTATACAAATAGTCTGAACAAATGTCAATCGTCTCATCATGAGGGAAATTAGTAAACAGATAAAATATCAATAGACATGAGAAAGTCAGTGTCAGTAGCACATTGCACTTTACATATGTATGAATTGGAACGAGTCTGGAATACAATAATCAGAAAGAGAACTTCAAAACAGGATCAAGTATTTCAACCAGCCATTTGGCCAACTCATGTAGGATAGAACACACCATAGATAAAATGGGCCTGAGTGAAACATTCACTTCATGAATTTTTGGCAAATTATACATCCGAGGATGCTGGGAGCCAACATATCATATACCTGCCTAGAGAGGAAAATTCCCTTGTGAAGTTCAAGTAATCTGATTGCTGTGTTCTTGGCCTATCCTGCTTCTTCTGAATCCTTATTCTCATGTTTGGCTACAGATCTAGTGAATTTTTTAATTTTTACGGAAAAATTCTCGATCAAACTGACTGAGAAACTTTCAGCAACTCCTTGGAAACATAAAAGGGATGTTAGCCAAAATTTTAGAAAATTTGATCAATACATAGGATCATAATGTAGTATGTATTCTTAACAAGGACTAAGGAAAAATCTTTGGTTAGTATATAGGTGTATACTTACTCAAAGAAAGGAGCTGTGGAAACAAAATATAATTTCAATTATTTTTATTTCCTGGACAATTTCCCTGTTCATTGGTTAAGACTTCCTCACACACATACACACACACTAAAGAGAGTGGGAAAGATGAATATATACACACACAGATATATATATAGTGGAGAACAAGAGGACTAAGATTGTTAAAGTGATAGATAGATAGATAGATAGATAGATAGATAGATAGATAGATAGATAGATAGATAGATAGATCGATCTTATTTTACAGGATGTGAACGATCATGGTTTCCAGAACTTCATATCTTTTATTGCTCAGGGTAATTTTTGACCTTTTACCATCATTCTTGGTCCATGTTCTGCCATACATTGTATTTGACAGATTCATGACCCTGAATATAATAATAATATATATATATATATATATATATATATATATATATATATATATATATATATATATATATATATATATATATATATATATATACCAACAAATATAAAACAAGTAGAATATACATTTATGTCTGTCTGCCTGTCTCTGTTTATCACCATCTCTCTCTCCCCCTCTCTCTCTCTACACACACACACACACACACACACACAGATATCAGTTATCTAAGAAAATCAATAAAATACCAGAAACAACATCCAGGCATGAATTTAAGGCTTTAATGCACTTAATAAGAAGTTAGAGTTTCACCTTAACAACCAAAACTCCATAAATTCTATTTTATGACTTCTTTTGAACATTAACTTGAGATGCAAATCTCATAATTTTCCGAAACATTATATATATTATTTGCACATGTATGTGCATGTATGTGTGATAGTATCAGAAGATAATTATGGATATAATACGGATATTATGTCAGTAACACCTGCCAACATTCCTGACCATTGAGTATCCATTACTTCATGTTCCTTTAAAGAACAGTATAAAAATTGACGTCCAAGATTTGAGAGAACATTTTGGCACAAAGTTATGAATTTTGCTGTTTTAGCATTGGAGAAAAAACCCTGAAAAAATCTTTCTTCTTCTTCATCATTATCCTCATTATCATCATCATCCTTCTTTTTCTTCATCCTCTTCTTCTTCTTCTTCTTCTTCTTCTTCTTCTTCAGGGTGTTGGCTCTCAGTGCTCTCCAAAATTTCCTGTTCTTTCTAGCTCTCAGTATATTTTCCCTTAGCTAGCTTTTAACTAGCTCTTATTTTATCTATGCTAGCACTCCTATATATTGTTCTGCCAAACATAAGCTCGTTAGGTAGGTTATACACTGTTTTCGTCTGTTCCTCTTGCCTCCATTGATTGATTAGCTTTTGCAGCTTATCAAACACTTGCAGATTATTTAAAGCCAGAAATCATTTTGAGATTGTAAGAATGTTTTGGAGATAATAACGATTTACTGATACAAGACTTTCTACTTAACCCATACCTGGTGAAAAAAAAAGTGGATTCATACCTTTGCTACCTCTTACTTTTAATATGTCCTGTCCGTTTCAAATTTTCTAAGCCCACTTTCCTCGTTATGTGCCCTAGAAAATTCAACTATCTATAATGACATTATATAATATAAGAAGATATTTATAGCCATGTATAGTAGAATGAAAACAATCTAATACCAGACGATGAGGTACTGATTGATTGATTTGTTTTTATGGCTTATCACCCTTTTGCAGTTTTTTTTTTAATGCCACAGTATATTTTTAGATTGTAAGAATATTTTTGGCGATAATAATGATTCACAAGTCTCACCAATTAGCTGCGAGAAGAGATAGAATCATAACTTTCCCAATTATATCTGCATGCAACAGAATCTAAACTAGGCTCACCATTCTTCAATTCTTAGTCATAGTCCATTACACCACCTGCACATCCAAACTTACCTGGTATTCTCAAGCCGTCACCCATCTAGGTACTGACTAGCCTCAACATTGCTTAACTTCAGTGATCATATGAGAACCGGTGTTTTAACATATAGCTGTAAGCTCTGTAGATTAAATAAAGTGTTCAGTCTAAAAGTCACTTAAGGTTACTCAAATCGATAGACACTTTAAGAAGGTCAGAAGCCTCGGTAGTGGAAACGTTGGGATAATACCAACAAAGACGAGGATATTAATCTGACTTCAAATAATGTAAATAATGGTAATTCTTCAACTTAGAATTTCAGACAAAAATATCAGAGAGCATTTGGACATTTCGGATTAGGATCTCCTAGTAGATTATATAACTGATACAAGTCATAATGAGAGAACTGATGGAACCTTCTGTAAATGCTCGCATGGAGGGTTTCTTTAGTTTTTCCCCATTTTCTGGTCTTTTCTTGTGGACTGCTCATCTTGAAAACTCATTAAAAATTAAAGAATGCCAACGAAAATTTGCTAGCAGGATTCTTAAGCTTTCAAGTGGAGATGTGGTGAGTGTCACACGAAATGTGATGCAGGCATGTTGTTAGACATTGTAAATATCACAGAACCATTCCAATTTAGCATCACAAAATCTCGTTTCAACGACAAATTTTGGAAGAATGATTTAGTAGGTTGAGTAACGATGTAATGAGTGCAATGTTTGCAGACACTCAAGGGAACTTTTCAATACTGTCTGCTATATTTGATGTTTCTTTCCACTGCTCTTCGTCTCACCAGTTACAATAGAAGGCAAAAAAATACGACATGGGCATCGATTTCTCATTTTTATTTAGAACCATTGATATATATATATATATATATATATATATATATATATATATATATATATATATATATTATGCCATGTTCTTTCAACATTATTAAACATAATCTCTTTGAAACAACAGCTTTAAATTTCCCCTCTCCAAAACTATACGTAAATCCTACAGATGCATGCTGAAATTTCATCCAAACCAATAAATAATTGACAATTCTCGGTTTTATCTCCACATTTCTATTTTCTGAACTTTTTGTTTTACTAATGCCATAAAGTTACTTTGCTTTAATGTTACTTCACTTTAATGTATGACGTCATTTGTTTAGATTTCATACGCCATGAGCAGATATGAATGTACGTGAGAGTTTCATGGAAGATTGAAGTTTAAATACAGTAAATTCGACCATGCTAACCGAACACTCCTCTGTGGCCAAATCGGTAAAGGGACATCAAGGTAAATGACGGTTCCGTATAGGATACAGGTTCGAATCCTGTTGGAGAACGAAGATTTTCTGTGAAAATTTCCCAGACACTCAGGCCGGTAAATGTTGTTTAATACTGTTTATTATAAACAGAGCATTTACTTAAATATTTGTATCTATAAAAAGAATGTATATACATAAAAATGTCTTAAAACAATTGTCGGATTTTGTCTGTTTCATAATGTATATATATATATATATATATATAAAGAAAGAACAGTAAGATATATAATCCTGTGTTCTTATAAATATTTTTATTTTTACAAAATAGTGCTCAATGTAAATTTACAGAGCATTAATATTATAAATTAATTGATTTAAAACATTTTTTATTTTCGCTACACAGTTCTAACCATGTTTCAAAAGTGGAAACTATAAGCTCCGAATTTAATTTTGTATTTAAATTAAAGACATTAGTTCCATTTCATCCTCAAGCGACTCCAAAATTCGCTTGAGGATGAAATGGAACTAATGTCTTCAAAATTAAATAATTGTTTTTTGGAACCTGATTGGATATGACATGTCACGTGATGTGCTCTCTACGACGTTCGCGCGGTTGAAATCCAAATGACCTGGAAATGAGTAGGCTCCTGCCAAAATTCAGATAAAAATTCCTGAGCCGATCAGTGAATCACCATAAGCCCTGAAAACAGCGACTAGATCTGAAACAAGACAGTCAGCGGACAGCTCGGAAACGGAACAGTCAGGACCAGATCTGCATCGACACAGTCGGCGAAAGACAGTCAGCAGACCCGACCAGCCTAGGCACACGTTACCATGACAACGTATCAGTCAGCGATAATCTTTCTAGATATAAAGCCGCGACGAAAGTAAGTTCTAGACCCCCTTCTGTTTGTTCACCAGGTTCTGAAATCACCATTATCGCACACAAGAAGTCAACCGTCTCACATATGTTTCATTGGTGTGTGCTTCACACGCTCATATCCGAGTACAACATATTACCCTGAACTTTGTAGACTCATTCGCAACAAAATAACTCCAAAACATTGCAGACTCAGACAAGTAAGACAGGCCTTCAAATAAATCTCACTAAATTCAGTAGATACGAAAAATTTTTAGAATTCTGTACAACTGGTAAATAATTAGTTTCTGGAACCTGACTGGACATGACAAATGACGTGATGCTCTCTCTACGACGTCCGCGCGGGTGAACTCCAGATCACCTGGAAATAGATCGGGGCTTGTGTTACCTAGTAGATTCCCGCACATAAATCAGACTGAATTTGTGAGCCGGTCACCGACTCGCCATAAGCCATAAAAACGTTTTGTAAGCAACAGCTAAGAGGAAGATCTGAAAGGGAACAGCCAGCGAACAGGCCCGGCCACGATACACGTTATCATGACAATGCACCAGTCAGCGATGAGCTTTCTACGTGCAAAGCAATGACGAAAGTTCGTTCTAGATCGTCTTCTCTTTGTTAACTGTGTTTTGAAATCTCTGCTATCGCACACAACCACTCAGCAGTCACACACATGTTTCGATCACGTGTGCTTCATACACACACACATTCGTACATATCATTTTCTAACTTTGCAGACTAACTTGCAACAAATCACTTTGAACACTCAAAGTATTGGTATCTTCATGGCTACAACAAAGACAATTGAATTCTAATATATAAATGCATGTATCTACTGTAAAAATTTTATTTTCATATTTAATTTGGTCTTCTTTCTTTTCTGCGAAGATTATTTCTTCGTGTTGTTTATAATTTTCTATTGCATTTTGTGGACGTAACACTCGGATTTTATTTTTTCACCTAAATTCCGGGTATGCTGACCCCACGCATTCTCAATGGATTTGAATACAATGTTTTTAATTTCTTAGAATGATTGCTACCTATTCTATATTCCGTATTTTTACTGAGACCTAAACGCCTGCCAGTTGTTTCATTGAGAAATATGCAACATTCTTAGCCACTAGTCAGGTCCTTAAACATGTTTTTGTATTATTATTGTGTTTAATTAGATGATTATATTTCCTAATATCTATTCTGATTCTCCATACAGTAAATTTTTCTATTAATTAAATATTCGGAAGCTGTATTTCAATTTCTTCTAAGATAATTCACAATGATAGATCTAAAGATCCTTGACTGACTGACTTATTTATGCCAGGGAAACTTCAAATTTACTTTTGTATTATTCAAACTTATTACACAACCCCCCACCCGCCCAAAGAAAGAAAACAGAATAATATAAACGAATACAACGTTATTCAATAAAGCGTTATATATGTGGTGAAACAATACGATTAATATGTATCAAAAGTATATTCAATTTTTATAAGACCTTTGCTCCAAAACGTATTTCATGAATACATCTAAAGACTATATTTAATTATAATATATTATTAATGTAATTATTATTCCTTAGGATATATCAAAAGTATATTCGTTTTTATAAGACCTTTGTTCCAAAACTTATTTCATGAATACATCTAAACACTATATATAATTATAATATATTATTAATATAATTATTATTCGGGTGTATCAAATGTATTTTTGCTTATACAGACCTTTTCAACAAATTTTATTTCAAATATACATCTAAGGGTAATCAACTAAATAATAATAATAATAATTATTATTATTATTATTATTATTATCATTATTATCATCATTATTTGTGTATGTTATGTTTCCTGCTTTGTATCCTGCAGAGACAGGTCCAAACTCAGGTCCTTAGGAGAATTGTCATTTAATTGATAGCACTTTTCTTAGTATATGGGATGTTTCTAGTAAGGCGATTTTCTGGGCAACTTGTATGTTTATGTTACCTGGGACACTGTTAGTAAAATTATCAATTCCTTTTCTCACGAGTCACAAAGATCCGATTACTATTTGTACATTTTCTGTCTTCATTCTGTTAGTTTCAATCTCCAGTTCCTTGTATTTGGACAATTTCTCGATAATTTTTTAAGGAGGTGTTTCTCTCAGATGGTACTGCTGTGTCAATAAGCATACACTTCCTGGATATCTTGTTTTTTATGATAATATCAGGTCTGTTGGCTGTTATTTCCCTGTCAGTTTGAATTGGCATGTCCCAGAGGATAGTTACATCGTTATTTTGGGTAACAATGTTGAGTAGGATTTTCTGCTGGTTGACATTTTTTTTTTTTTTTTGGTTGGGGGTATCACATGATCCTGCATTTCGGGTTAGTTCCAGCCTTGATTATGTGACAGTAATAGGCTCTGTTTGCGAGGTAACTGTATCTGGTTGGTGTTCATACCATCTCTCAGTGGTTTCAATTTGTGCATCATGAATATCATCCAGTGCAAATATGTCGCTACCTTGTTATGTCTCTGAGTATATCCATTTTTTGCCAGTTCCAGACATCCTGAGATAATATGGTCGACAGTTTCATCATTACCGCAGATCTTGCATTTCGGGTTAGTTCCATCCATGATTATGTGACAGTGATAGGCTCTGTTTGCGAGGCTTTGATCCTGAGCTGCAATAATTAGGCCTTCTGTCTCAGTTTTCAGTAAGGATCTCCTCAGCCAGTGATGGATTTTCTGTTGGTCCACATCTGCTTCTTTTGTTCTTTTTATTTATTTGCCATGCAACGTCTTGTCCTTCCAGTTTTTTTGTAATTTCATTTGGTCAAGTTGTTATGCTTTCTTTTTTAGTCGTAGATGGTATTTTCTTCGTTTTTTTTTTTGTTTTTTGTTTGGTAGGATTACAGGTATATGAAACTGCTTCATGAAGAGTGAAGCTTCTTTGTTTTTTTTTCCTCATTGTAGGAGAGGATCATTGGTTTTCTGAAGTAGGCTTCCAATCT